AAAATTTGTCACTCTTTCTCGGCGATTTACGCTAAGTGCTTCTTATTGTTATGTGAAGTAATATATTATTTATTCATGATTTTTTTGCCATAGAGCCTAGGATTTTAATCTTCGCTATCATTTCTTTATAGATAGATAATCATCCTTCGCTTACTGCCAGGCAAACTCCTTCACCGAGTGTACTAATCAATAAATCTGCTTTGGTATTTTCAGGTAAGTTCATGCATTTGCCTATTCATGTTACGGATGTACGATAGCGCACAAAAACTGAATTGGCCATGCAAAGTTTGTTTTCGTTCTACGTACTTGATTTTTTTTAGAATGAGTAGCTCGCAACTGTAAAAAATTATTTTAATAAAGGCATTCTTTCTATTTCCATGGGGGAAAAAATGGAGGAGGCTTATCATGTAAGTTTTCTCTTTGAGTATGATTCATGTCTTGCGTAGGTTTTTCATCCATCTTATGGTGTTACAATGGCTTTCTTGGTTGTTTTATTTTGCACTAGTGGTTGTATTATCGTGAATTTGGTTGTATCTTTGCCCGGATTTTTTTCGCTTAAGTGCAAAATGTTTCATGCACAACAATGAAAAATCTGCCATTCACTCGAATGTATTGAATTTTTATTTTTTACACCATAACAAAATAATGAAGTGGGCGGAATAGGATTAGATTCACAGAAACCACTTACCCAGTAAGTTTCTCGACCACTTGTGGAAAAGAAAAACTTCCTAGTTACTGAAAGCAGCCGGGGAGTTGCAGTTTGTTCAGTGAGTTGAAAAATCAATTACTTGTGATAAGAAAGGATAAACAGAAAACAACAATCTTTTCTTTGCATGAACCGATTCCGGTTGATGCCTTCTGCACATCCGAAATTTGCGCAACTACAGTAGTGAGAATCTGGCGTTGCATGCGTCGCTCTTGTCTTGTAGGGCCAACGAATGAGCGTCAGAAGGCCGTTGTAGCAGCTTTTCAACATGCGTGGCAAGGTTATCGTAAATTCGCTTGGGGTCATGATCAACTCAAGCCGATCTCTGGCGGATATTCGGATTGGTTTAATACTGGATTGACGATTGTCGATGCTTTGGATACTGCTATCATTATGGGGCTCAAGGAAGGTTAGTCAACTTTCCCTCTTCAGTCCCTAGTTCAATGATTTACTTCTGTATCTTTCTGCATTATATCGACATATTCGACACTTTAAATGGCAGTAGAGCCATACATGAAAGTTCATATATTCTATTCTTTGTTCAAAGTAATTCCACTAAGACGTCTTTTCTTTAAAATGGTCAACTATTAGTTGGGATTTTGCAGAAGTTAGACAAGCTACTGGTTGGATCCACGACGCCCTTACTTTCGATAAAGACGTGTACGTAAACCTCTTTGAGACCACTATCCGAACTTTAGGTGGTCTTTTGAGTGCGTATCATCTCACGGGTAATAAGGTTCGTTTTT